CCTGGGGGTTGGGGACGAGGGACCCTGGAGGGACGGGGACACTGCAGGGGATGGGGACCGAGACAGGGAAGAGGCCTGGGAACCTGGAGAGGGTTGGGGATGGGGGACCGTGGGCAGATGGGGGAGACCAGGGACATGGGGGTCCCTGGGGACATGAGGACAGGCATGGGGACAGGGGTCCCTGATGGGGGGACAGGGTGAGATCAGGGGGACAGGGAGGACTGGGGGGCACCAGGGCATCCTGGGGGTGGCAGAGGACTTGGGGGAGTTGGTTTAGGGATGGGGCATCTGGCAGGGCAGGACTGTCCCTGGGGGAACATGGAGGTCCCCGTGGGGGGACTGAGGGGATCAAGGTGGCAGGTGGGTCCCCTGGGGGGACAGAGGACGAGGAGGTCCCCAAGGGGGCGAGGGCTGCCCGGGGGGGACCCTGTTCTCAGCCCTCTCTTCGCAGGGGGAGCCGACAAGCAGCAGATGGACGCGGAGCTCCGCAAGGAGATGATTGCCATCTGGCCCAACCTGTCCCCGAAAAACCTGGACCTGCTCGTCACCCCCCACAAGTGTAAGGCACCGTCCCAGGCCCCATCTCTGTCCCCGTCCTGTCCCTGCCCCATCCTGCCTCACCCCTCTCTGCGCCCCTCAGCCACTGACCTGACGGTGGGGAAGATCTACGCTGCGATGATGATCATGGAGTACTACCGGCAGAGCAAGGCCAAGAAGCTGCAGGCCATGAGGGAGGAACAGGTTGGTCCTGAGACGTGGCCATGCCCAGCCCGGAGCACACCACCACCTCCCCATGCATCTCCTGCATCCCCACCCCAGCTCCATCACCTCCCCGTGCCTCTCCTGCATCCCCACCCCAGCTCCATCACCTCCCCGTGCCTCTCCTGCATCCCCACCCCAGCTCCATCACCTCCCCGTGCCTCTCCTGCATCCCCACCCCAGCTCCATCACCTCCCCGTGCATCTCCTGCATCCCCACCCCAGCTCCATCACCTCCACGTGCCT